ATGTTTCTATATATTTATTATTAGCAGTTCCTAGTCTGTTTGTACTAATTCTACTTCTAATTCCTTTTTTTAAATCTAATTCCACCTCTTATTCCTTGCTTTATCATTAAGATCATATCATAATCACTTAATAATTATAATTCTATTTTTGTTTCTTTCAATGCAGCATCCCAAGCTAACCCTGGTGAAGTATAATACTAAGCAGGATCTAATTTATAATATTTTATACATACATCTCTAGAATTCTTGAAGACATCAGCTAATAATAACACATCTGAAACATTGTATAAATTATGATAATCTCTAAAAGTTTTACAATAAAACCCTTTCCTTACAGTTTGTGCATGTGAGTAATCCTCATCACTTATTCCCTCATCATTTAATCTTGAAAAAAAGAGTTCTTTTAATGGTAATTGTGTTTCATTTAATTCATCAATATAATCAACCCATTCATAAGGATAAACACCTTTTTATAATAATAAATCGAGCTCATTTCCTGAATAGTACTGACTTTCCAATATTTTTAGATTGCTCCTTTGTTAGGTTCTTAGATAAGCTATCTAAACTAGAAGCCATAAATCTATAACTCTCAACGAAACGGAGTTGTAGTTTAACTTCAATAACTTTATTATCTTTATTCGTATTTTTACCAACTTTAAGTTCTTTAGAAAAGCTGATAAACTTTTTTTCATTGTTAGGAATGCAATATAATTTTCCTTATGAAAATTTTTTTATGAACAAGTGAGAATCATAACCAGATATATTGTGAAATAGTACTTGAATGAATTTTGGAATTTTAAATTGTAAATTACGATCTTTATGAGCTGCACCTCTATATTTACCTGTAATATGACAATGATCTCTATCATCTTTTGATTCTTCTTTGCAAATGTGACATACTTTTGCATTACTGAAACTATTTTTGTCTTCAGGTGTGAATATCATCTTTTTTGGAAATTTTAAATAAGTGTTGTAAATCTTCTTAATATCTGCTTCTAACGTATCAACAAATTTTTTCGCAACATCATTTTTTTCACTATTTGCAGTGAATGTGACTGGTTTACTTTTATATACACTTTTCATCAAAACATTTGATATAGTAACAGAATGAACTTGGTGAATGCTTTTGATATTGTTTTGTATAAGATTCATTTGGATTGGGTGTACAAGTGTTGATTGGTTTTACAAAACTTTCAAAGACAGCATAGACTACAAAAGGTGCTCTCATAGTTTTTTTAAAATGGTTAAACTTTATCATTGTGTTTGGCTCTGGAAGTTCAATTCGTACTGAATTATGAGCATCACAATACAATTTATGCTTATATAAAGATTCCTCAGTACTAAATCCTAACAAGCAATTTATTTATTAAAAGTAATCTACTTAAATTTTTTATTAAGCAATAATGATAAGATCCGAAGGATCCATTCGTAGTAGTTTCATCATATGAAATGAGTAATAAATCTATTTGATGTTGTCTATTTTTCTCATTTGATATTTTTAAAGGATAAACCAAACTTTCATAACCAAAGACACTGACACTTATGTTTTGATTATTTTTCTCAAATAGTGTTATCTGATTGAGTGACACTTGGAATTCTATTTTTTCCCAATTTAATTTCTTAGCTTGTTCTTTCAGATTTCTATCTACTCTTTCAGAATTTTTATCTTTCATATTAAAAAATCTAGCAACACACCACTTAAAGCATTGGTTGTCTTCATTTTTTATATTAATGATTGCTTTTTTAGCTGCTAACTTTTCAGGAGGAAGAATGTAAGAATTACCTTTAAGTGGTATATATTCAGTCATATTAATATCCATCTTTTTAACAGAAACAAATCTCCAACTTGATCCCATCTGTTGAAATGTGGACAAGGATTCTAAAATTTTATTTGCAGCTCTTTCATAGAAGTCATTTAAATCTGTTGATTCAAAAACAACATCTGCTTTTGTTAAAAAAGTTGCAATTGTTGTTATAGTTTCTCCTGTTTTAAGATCAGTTCTTTCCATTTCACATGAAAGAACGATATAGATCTTTGGTCCTTTATTGCTATTAAGTACTTTAATGGCATTATTTTTAGCTGATTTAATAAAGGACAAAGCATCATATCCATCAACACCTTTAGCTGAAAATTGCTTTGTCACATTTTTAATAGCTGATTGCGTTAATTTAAACTCTATTGGTTTCCTAAGGAGACTCGTCGACCACGTTAATTTAAATCTTTTATATAAATTAGAAACTGTAGATTTTATTGAATCAAGTTTTTCTTTTGCAGTCTTTTTAATGGGTTCAGGAACATAGGACATAATCCAATTAGCAAATGAATTCACTTTATTATTAACAATATTAATATACTTACTTGGAACATACTGAGTAGATGTTAGAGCATTTTGTGAAATATGCACTGGAATGGGTTCGTCTAATATATTTTGATTCAACGGAGTCTGGGTTCCTTTGGAACCTAGCACTCTAATAAGGTCTGTTTTTCTCATTCTATAATAATATTTAATTTTTTGCTCTTTTTTAATTTGTTTTAATTCTTTTACATTTCTATTTTCCATTTTATATACAAAATAAAATTATTTATGTTATTTTCAATTTTTCTGTACTTCTTGTTGAGAAATTAATTAATAGCAAAAAGAAAAAAATTCTTGTTATATATTTTTATAGACTTATATCTATAAAAATAATTTATTTTTCATTTTCTGATTTTACTATTTTTACTCCATTTTTAACTTTTCCATTTTATTTCTCAGCATATGATTTACAATGCTTTTCTTTACAAATATAGTCATACAATGATTTGTATATTTTAACTTCACCAGTTTAGTAAGTTTTATAGATATTAGATTTGTTCTAATTTTTGCAAGCCAGTCATATTTAGGATCTCTTTTTCTTTAAATAATATCTCTTTTTCTTTAAATAATAAATTCTAAGTGTTCAAGCTTTTTTTCTCTCTTTTTGCTTTTTTTCTTTTTTAACTCTTTTACCTCTTACAATCCTTGGTTTTTTTTTGTTTTTTAGTAATGATATTTGGTTGTATAGATTCTTTATCAATTAAATTATTATCCATAGCAATCATAACTAATGCAATGTAATCTTTAGATGTTTGTTGTATATTATTTTCTTTTAGTATCTTTAATAAATACTTTTTTGAATACTTTTTTTTGTCACTCATTTTTATATAATAAAGAAAATCTATTTAAAATAATTTCAAATAATTTAAACTTTTATGTTTTTTTTGTATAAATTATTTAAAATAAAATTAATTCTAAACCTTTATCTACAGCGGATCCTGAGTTATTTCAGATCTAATCTTCTTTCCAATCTTTTTCTTTCTAATCCTACTTCAACTACTAGTTCTAAATTTTTTTTCCAATCTCATTGCTTCTATTCTTTCTTCTAAATCTTCATAATCTTTTAATGTAGGTTTTTTTTTTCTATTTTTTTTATTAAATATTCTGTTTTGTTTATTGTACATAATAATTTTCTTATTATTGATCTTGTTAGTTTTAAATCTTCTAATTCTACATTTACTAATTTTTTGTAATTTTTTTGTTCACGTTTTAATTCTTTTATTTTTTTATTCATTTTTTGATTATTATGACTTATATTATTTGATAGTAATTTTATTGCATCCACTTAATTCTTCTATTTTTATTTCACAATCTTTTATTTCTTTTAAAGCTTTTTTTTGTATACAATTGATAATTCTTCTATCTTTTCTAAATCTTTTTTATAATCTACTACTCCATAAATTTCTACCATATTTATTAATTCATCCATTCTTTCCTAATGAAATACTAATTTTGAACTTAAGTTAAACCTTTCTTCTAAATCTTCTAACACTCCATCCTCAAATTTTAATTCATCTACTCTTTTTTTATCAGTTTCTGGGCAAGATATTATTTTTAATTCTTTATAATAATTTTCTTATTGTAATACTTGTTTATTAAACAATAGATATGACATTAATCTAAATCTATCTTTCATTCCGCATTTTTTAATTTCTTATTTTAATATTTTTTCTCCTACTGTTATCTCTAATATTAATATTTCTGATCTTTATTCTAATTCTAATTCTTCTATTCTATTCTTCAAGTCTTTTATTTTTAATTCTAGTTCTTCTAATTCAAGCATAATATTTGCATGAAGTTGTAAACTTGCTAATCTATATTCAAGCTTTCCTTTTTTATATTTTAATTCATCAAGTCTATCTTTTTTATATTTTAATTCTAATTTTAATTCTTCTAACCTTTTATAAGAATTAATTATTTTCGTTTTCCATTTCGTTTTCCATTCTTTTTATATAGAAAAGAAAATTGTTTATGCTGATCAAAAAAAAAAAAAAATTATTGCGCATTTTACTATAATTTTCTTTTTCTAATATTTAAAATTAAATCTCCATTAGACTTTAGTCTACCTAGTCTTTCTGATATAATAACAGCTAATGCTTCAGTTCCGTCTCGAACATTTTCACTAAAGTATGCTATAATTTGAATATCTGATACTGAAGGTTTTAATTTTTCTGATTGTTTGCTTAAACCGAAAACCATAAGTGGATATAAATCTTTATAGTCTGAAGGTGTTATGTTATAATTTGAAATCATTTCATTTGTTCCATAAAAGTTTTCTTTAAAAGTAGATGCATCTCTATAAGCTCTTGGAAATTGTTAATTTGGAAATGATAGTTCATAATCAACTTCAGGAAATCTTACATTATTAATCATGACTTGCATATTTTTCAAGTTACAATGATCGAACATCGAAGCATTTTGTGTTTGATCATTATCTCTATTTGTTTGGAATCCTACGATAATATATCTAGGTTTTTCATCACTTTTAACACCAAGTTTCCAAGTCATTTTAGTTGTTGGTTGAGGTGTAATAGTTTCACACGATCTAGGTTAAAAAGCTACTCGAATTGTAACTTTTTCTTTATTAACACTATCAAGATTAAGTGTCTCTGTATCTGATGGTGTTATATAAGGCATCCATAATTATACTTTTGTAGGATTTATTTTTCCTATAGCTGCTGCAGCAGATCGAAAAAAAGCATCATTGTAATTTTTTCTTTGTAAAGTTAATGTATGCTTGAACCCGTAAAGTACTGTAGTATAATCATCACAGAATTCGAAAATATGCTTAAAAGGTATAATAAATGAAAATGTAACTTTTGTAGTAGGTTTCTGAATAATATATGTTTGTCCTACTGTAAATCCAACATTAGTAGTCAAATTTGCATCTGTTACAGTATCTTTGTACCATAGTTGATTTAATCCTTCTGTTAATTGAAAGTCGTTTGAATACCTAAGCACTCCTAACATTGTAGTTGCTTGCCCTAAACTATTTACTGTTTCTATGTTCTGTCCTGATAAATCATATGCCATTCTATTAAATAAATGCATAATTCCATTGTGTGTAAGTGTAACTACATCTGTATTAGCATAGGATGTACCACTTGCTGCTAGAAGTCTTCCTTTAACTTGTAAATAAGCTTTAAATGGTAGAAAAAATGAATCTGCCATCTCGATATTAATTTTTATTGGAACTATATCATTTATATTCGTACCAGTTGGTGGAGAATATTCTCCAAATTGAAATCTGGAAATACTTTCATCAATAAAGGCTTGCTTTGTTAAATTTACCTTTTTATAACCTGCCATTTTTACATACATAACATTTTTTTTTTAATTTATTTTCATTAATTTTTTATTAATGAAAATTTAAAAAAATATAATATACCATTTTTAATCATCTTATTCCCTTTACTAATTCTTCTAGTTTAATAGAGTTTAAATGGCTTAATTTTTTATTTAATCCTCTTCCTCTCTTTACTAATTCTCCTCTTGTTCTCTTTACTAATTCTTCTAGTTTAATAGCGTTTGAATGGCTTAATTTTTTAGATGGTATTGCAAATCCCATCATCAATTTATTTATATTTGTTGTGACTTCATTAGTTAGATTTTGAGCAAGATCATTAGCTGCAGATTCAACTAAATTTGCAAGTACTTGTTTACTATCAGATTTAAGCTTTGATTTTTTAATCAACTTGTTTCCTTTTTCTACTATAATATCTTTAGCAGTAGAGATTGCATTTGTAGCTATTTCTTTACCTGCTACTTTTGCAGCATCTATTGCAGTTTTTCCTAAATCACTAGCAATGGCTTTATTAGCTAAGTTACGTGATATTTTAAGTGCATTATTAATCGATCTATTATTAAGTAAGCCTTTAAAAGGACTAAATATACCACTTCCATCGACAAAATGCTTTTTATAAACTCTTTTATTCACAATCAACATTTTTATTTACCTACTATTTTTATTTAATCTAAAAATGTTCTGTAATACTTTATAATATTCAAAATCAACTTCTTCTTGACGTAACAATTCATCACAAATAGCAACAGCCTCATTTCTAGCCCCAGTATTATCTGCTTCAAATGCAGCTATTTGTAATGCAAGCATTTTAACCAATTTAGTTGGATCACTAGGAAGAATGATAACTCCTTTTCCAGATTTTCTAGTTATCTCTTCCCAAATGGGTTTTACTATTTTATTATATTTTTCTCTTCTAGATGATCTAGGCTTTCCTGGATATTTACTAGAAGAAATAGCATCTGTTTCTTTCAATATATTTTGATAAATCAGGTTTCATATCAGATTTAGTTTCAGGTATATCTATTATTTCAGGATAATTTGATAGAGTGATAGCTAAATGATCAGCTTTATTTTCTCATTAAGCTAGGTTTTCTTTTATTCCAGATTGACTATTGATAATAGGTTTGTATAAATTATCTAAGTCATGCTGTAAATCATCATATCCAAGCTTTTCATTTACTGCATCTTGATATATACTTTTTTAAGTCTTTCGAGCTCTTAAAAAGCTTCATTTCTTTTTTTCGGATCTGCAATATCTAAAAACGACATTTTTATATACATGACATTTTCTTTAAGTTTATTTTGTATAAATCATAAGTAGTAACGTGTTGTCATGTTTTACTTGAAAATAATATATGTTTTACTTGAACATATATTATGATTTAATAAATATTTATTTTGCTAATATTTTTATTTTTATTAAACCTATTCTCTAACAATTCCATCGCCTCTTTCATAGCTCTCTCTTTACCTAGGTTGAATATTGATTGTTTAGTTTTTTCATCAACTTCATTTTCAGATTTTGTTCTAATTTCTTCAACCATTTTTTGAAACTTTTCCTATTCTGAAAGTATTATTGTAAATTCTACATCATCGATATTACCATCTTTTAAAGCTTTAGAAAAATAATCTCTTATAGTATTTAGTTTTGCATCAGCTAATACTTTAATCTTTTCATGGTTTTCTGTTTTTATGATTAATTTTTTAATAACTTGAGATACTATTAATGATAATACACCTGCACATAATGAAGCTCCTTCAAGTGCAATAGCAACTGTTGCTGCTACTATAGTTGCTAAAAGACATATACCAACAGCTCCTAATGTCATAGTAGTTACTAGTAATAAATTATCAATTGCTGAAATGATTCTCACAGCTCTATGATACTTTTTACTCAACATAGATCTTCTTTTTCTTTCACATTCTATTTTACTTTGAATTTCACTTATCTTATCTAATCGACATCGCTGATCTATAGATAGTGGTGGTGCAGTTGGATCAACTCCTAATTGGTTAAGATATGGATAAATACTTTTACATTCTTCATTTTTACATTCTTTGTTATTATAGTATCTATTGTATTCCATTCTTTTTATAAAGAAAACTTTATTTTAAGTTATTTTAAAAAGTTATATTTATAATAATTAAATCTCCTATACCTTTACTTACCAAAATTAAATATAGGTTTAGCGTATAAATTATATTTATAATTCCATTATAAGATGAAATATATAATAAAAAATTTCCTTTTTTAATATTCATATCTTTTTTATCATTATTATATAAAGTTATTATAATATTTATAATAATTTAGTAAGTTTAAATATGGCTTATATGTTTTTGCAAGTGCAAGTGATACATACACTTCATCTATATTAACTCTACATTTTAAAGAAATCTTATTATATGAATTTGATTTTACTACAAAATCTTGCTGTGCAAGTACTCTATATTTTTTACTATTAACAAAAGATGGAGTATGATCTAAATTCTTATTATATATTAAATCTATTTTTTTATTTTACTATTTTCAATATTCAGAAACATTTTATTCATTTTATAAAGATGCTTATTTATTTATACCATTTCACAACATAATAATATAAAAAATTAAAATGATATAAATAATTTTCTTGCATATATAAAAAATGTCATTTGTAGAGATTGAAAATTTTGATGAAGCAAAATTATGTGCTAGTGAAGTCATTAATTTTTATAAACCTGTTCATTAACTAAAAATGAGAATTGGTTATAAAGGCGAAACATTTTTATCAGTAGAAACACCTATATTATTTTCATTCGGAGTGTGTGAAAATAGAGATCCAAAAACGAAGAAACTGACTGGATATTAATTCCACTTGTATGTTTTAAATAGATGAAAGGAAAGACTGAAGAAGAAGAAAAACTTATTGCAATGATTTAATCTATTGAGAAATTTTGTAAAGATAAAGTCAAAGAAAAACAATTAAAAAAGAAAAATTTTAAAACTGAAAACTTAAAAATTCTAAAATATAATGATAATAAACCTCCTGTTATATTTGCAAAAATACCAACAGAAGATCTGAATATGGATAATGTATTCAGATCTGCAGATGATGAAGAAATTTCAGGACATAATCTTACTAAAAAAAGATGTTATATTAAAGGGTGTTTAAAAATTTAAGGTTTTTATAATGGCTCGCCGATTTAATCTATTCAGGTAAAACTAGAAAATACAGTTATTTATGAAAAATAAAGTAAATTATAAAATGATTTATAATAACTTAAATAAGAGTTATTATAAATATAAATGATGGATATTGAAGTACATAACAATAAATCAAATATCACTACAACTCAATTTGATCCTATTATTGAACTTAATAAAACAAAAAAAACAAGAAATGGCATTTATGATATTAGAAACTATTCACTACAGCGTTTTATTTCAAAAAAAGTGTTTGCATATATTAAATAATATTGTAGATGGAAGAAATATAAATGGTAAGAGAACTACTGTAACGCATACATTCTTACCAATGACTCGTCCTTCAAGTATGAGCCTTGCTGAAGTACCAAATTTTAAAAGTTATTTTTCATTAAAAAAAAAAAAAAATCCACTCTCAAAAATGACAGTTAAAACAGTGGATGACGATCTTCATGTTATAGATATGAGTAAAGAAAGATTAATAATACAATTTTACCTCAAAAGAGTAAAGCAGTAAAGTTAATTAAGTTTTTATATTTAAAAATGATATAGATCCCAAAGGGATCCAGATTCATTATAATGAATTAAAAAAATTATATATATATATATTATATATATATATATATATATATATATATATATATATATATATATATATATATATATATATATATATATATATACATAAATATATATATATATATAAATGGATATATGTATTGGAGGAGTTACTTCAATAATATAAAGAAAGTTTTTACTAGCCATTCCACTTGATGCAAAAAAAAGAGTATGAAATGGCATTAATAAGCTTAGAAACATATCATTTACTTAATAATATTAATCAAAACAACAATAAATTTGCTTATATTATTTATGAAGCAACTACTAAAAAACCATCGCCAGTTAGTCGTAATATTCCAGGAGGGGTCAATGAACTTACTTCGATCAATGACTGGAGGCAAAAAGAATTAGTTGCTTCTAAACTTCCTATGAATTCAATTACATTTGTAGGAAATATAACAACATTTAAAGTTACAATGACTATTGCAACAAATTTTGCAGTTGATTTTGCAATTGAAAATTCAATTCTGAAATATTTTAGGTTTTGATAGTAAATTATATACTGCAGGTGATTATGTACTATCTGTAAAAGTATTACATATAAATCATATTAATACTATACATGTTAAAAATAGTATTATATCAGGATCTTATTCAGATAATTCACATAGAAATATTATTTATACATTTTACCCCTCTGTAGCTCCTGGAGCTAAACTTGTAGAAAAACCAAATGTCCCCATTTACTTACCAATATCTCTAAGAGGAGATATTCGTGATATGGAAACTTTGTTAATTGATCAAGATGAAAATCTAATTGATGAGCAAGGAAAAAGAATAACAATGAAATTTCATATAAGAGAACGAACTTCTAAATGTGAGCAAGAGTCTATTCTAAAAGAACAAGTAGCACTTCTAAATGAATTGATAAATATTTAAAAAAAATAAAAAATAGATTTAAAAAAACGTGCATATATAAAAAATGACAGATTATCAAAATATTAAAGTTAAGCTTTCAGAATATCAAAAGAATAAAATCAAGAAAAAACTTAAGAATAATTCAAAAAAAATTATTATAAAATTAACTTTTAAAAATCTAAATGATAAAAATGCTAAAGATGTAATAGCTCTAACACATAAACAATTAGAAGAAGTAGTCAATGCATTTAAAAATAGAAAAGGTATAACACTTGAATTAAATGAAGAAAATCTCATCCATAATTCTAAAGTGGAAGGTGGATTTCTACCTTTACTAGG